AAATTCTAGAAAAAAAAATCTTAAGTCAAAAAGATATAGTTTTTATTCACAAAAATTTTTATTTTTAAAAGTTTAAAAACCAAAATGCCTTTCTAAATACAGGATCTATATTGGATCTGGTCAGCACACCAGACTGAGCCACAAAGGGAGCGGTGAAGAAAGGATTCCAGGCCCCGAAAGTAGTGACGAATCATGGAAGAGAGAACAATACTACCTTAGAGGGGGTGAATACTAGCTTTTCTTTCTTTCACTTTCTTTTAGGGTAAGGAAAAAGTGTGCGAGTTTCAATTGAAAAGTATATAAAACATTGCAATTTTGCCCCTATACCCACTCTTAAAGCTGCTTCTTACCCAAAGGGGTGTTTGGGAACCACAAGTAAATGAAATTGTGTAAGCCTTTTTCTTTACTCGTGTGAAAGAACATCCACATCAGTGTGCCCAAGTGAAATACAGTGTTGGATAGCAAAAACAATTCATTGATGAAACTAGAAAAATAAAGATGATGTGGCAATCTCATTTTATTTATTTATTTAAATTTATACTGCACCTTCAATTATTATTTATAAATAAAATATCTGGTTCCCACTTTCCACTTTCACAATGTCTTAGGGAAGTCAAATATACATTAACTATGCTATGGACCTTCTTTTGCATTTCACTTTTGTATACACTTTCAATGTTTCCTCTTATATTTTCTCCTACATCTTCTCTTCTTTCTGACAAATGAAGCAAGGAGACAATTAAAAAGAAGAGACTCCTAGAGAAGTTATGACATTGAGGAAAGAATGAAAATTAATGGAAATTTTGATGGAAATTTTATTATGATTGATTGGATAATTTACTTAATCATTATTTATTAGGATCTGAAATTAGTTGCTTTAAGACTTGGACTTAGCTTGATTTATTAAGATCCAAAAGTAGTTAGCACTTGTGAAATCTGTTTATAGTAGGCTAATCAGTTAGATTTGCTTGTGTTTAACTGATAAGACTTTTCTGATTATTCAATAAACTTTTTTTATTACAGTTTTCTTGTATTTTACCTGGGCAAGTGTAAGAATCAACCATTACATATTGAGTCAACAATGAATAACTGATCCTACGGTAAAAAAGAGTGGTTCACTTGTTAATGAATAAAATTTTGACTCTATGTTGATGACCTTTTAGCTTGATAAATAACAAACTATAGAACGTATTTGTAGCATTTTATTTGAGTCGTGCAGAAGCACACGAAACGAAATATTTCCCTTTGACTGGATATTACGGGGGTCAAGGCATGAATGGTCTAGATTTGATTAGCTCTAAATCAAACAGTCCATATCTGATGTTATTTTGGTTAAGCAATCAAGTTTAATAAATAAAAAAGCAGCTGCCAAAAAAAAAAAAGAGATGCTAACACAGAAAAAGACCAGAAAACTTGTTCCGTACAGTGTTCATCATCAAGGATAATTTTGCAGAGCTTGAAGACCTATCATCCTCTCAGAGATCTTCTACTGTCAGGGACAAAGTTTTATTTCTCTGTTTTTGTTATCTAGCTTTGTTTTATTGTAAAATTTTTAATCAAGTGTTTTTTATCTGACTGGAATCTCAGTCTTGAGGTTAGATTAAGTGAGGACATTATCTAGAAGCTGTATTGGCTGGTGTGCATTGAGATCAGAGTTGGATCGGGTGTAATAGGCTATCTTGGTCGTATGAACTTGACGTTTCAGATACTTTTCTAGATAGTGGAACATGAGAACATCTCACGGGGTGAGATAAAGATGTGGATGTAGGTAATGTAAAAGTCTATTGTGTTTGTGGTTTGCTTTTGTCGTTGTTTACTTGCTTCCTCTGTTTAGTTTCCAGTCTTAATAAAAATAATTTTTGAAGGAAACCCTATTGAACCCCCAACACNACAACCCCCCCCCCCACCCCCACCCAAAAAAAAAAAATCCCTTTCTAGGGATGCCTGTAGATCCTAACATAAATTGCTTATGCCAATAAAATATAAAATTCTTCCAAAAAATAAACCACTAAGTAAAATGAAGGACCATTTCGAACTCTACTAGAGTTGTGCATTGGAGAAAGGTATAAACTATGAATTGAAATTATAAAGGAATAGCATATATTTGTCGATTTCATCATAAAAGGCCTAGTTAGTAATGTTACCGGTCAATGATTTTTAGTCGACCACCAGGTAACCATAAACCTATATCTCCTGTATGCAACCACCCGTCGTCATCAATTACCTCTTTGCTGTAAAGTTAGTAGAATTTCCATTTATACCAATCTGATAAAGCTGAAAGCATAAAAAGATTAAAAAGATCACAATAAGTAGAAGACATTTACGTCTGCACGTCATCCTTATAATAGCCTTGGAAAATTATAGGCCCCCTAACACAAATTTCACCACGAGGATATGGTTGATCATCAGATGTGTAATTCATTTCAGGAACATCAACAAGCTTGATTTCTGAAAAAATGAACAAAGGATTGAAATAAGAAACTGAGATAAAAATGCAACAAATCATTAATTTAGTTATAGGCATATATTTCCAAGCTGTACTGGTTTATGTTTTAGATTTCTGCTGATGTTATGTTTTAGATTTCTGCTGATGTAAGGACAAAAAATTCTGCTTGTCAATGATGGAAACAGAAAGTATTCAAGAAAATTGAACTTAAATACATGTTATACCATCTCTGTGTAGCATTGTTGAAAGAATAGCGGACGAGCTTTATAATCAGTATACTAAACTAGATAAGTCAAATCAACAAAAGATAATACAGAAATAAAGATATTATACATAGATGCAGATCAAAGATTGTCCTCGATTCCATGAATAACCGTAACGCATCAACAATTATCGGTCGGTTAGATACAAGCTAAAACCATCAGAACACCGTAATGGGACAATACATCATACTCCAAGTTACTGTACAATTCCAAAATAAAATTAAGTTGTGCCGGAAATCATACGTTATTGGAAGGTTAGGAACTCCTAATTTTCCCAACCAAACCTCCATAATCTTTTTCAGTCCGCATCTTTGTTTTTCAACTTACCTAAAATCATTTTCATTTTCTTAATTGCCACTGTAGCACAGTGGTAAAGTTCGTTGCAGAGTGAAAACGGTATGGATTCAGCTCCCATTTTTATCAATACCCTTATTTGCCAGCAAAAATAAAAACAGTACGAGGGAGAAACAAAAACTAACCCTAACAATTAACAGCAAATATCATTAGAATAATGCTGGATTAGGATTCTAATATTCATTTATAAGTATGTAAATGAAGTAAAAGAAAACAGAGGTTTCAGATAAAAATCAATCATATGTAGCCTATATATCTAATAATTGATGTTCATGCCTGTATATAACATGCCAGAAATTTGTAAGTTCATGGCAGGAAATGCCAGGTAGAATATGACATGCATAACATGAAAATTCAACCTAAATGGGGAGTTCATGTTAGGAAATACAACATAGAAGATAACATGCATGCACGGGCACGAATCCATGACGAGAATATCAAGAGAAACCATGTCTGAATTGAACGAACAGGGCAAGTTATGAAATAAAAGCACACGCACGATAAGAATGGAAAGAACTAAACCAGAAACTGGAGCATAATCTTCATTTACATTCCTCTTTTAATCAATTCACATGAACTAAACAGATATAGGATTTTGAAAACGTAGTTATAAATTCAAAACTTACAATAAAATTAAACTTTATTAGGACAGAAGAAGAACAGTATTCTTGATTGTTCAAAATTTTGAAATTTAAATAGAAGATGAACTCTAAAGGAAACCCCTAGAAAGAAAGTATTGAATCCTAATGGAGCTTTATAGTAGATCCACATCAGTGGAAATTTGACACTTTTTGTCCAACAGGAAAAAAGGCATCACATGCACGATTACAGTGTAAGATTACTTAAAATGCTGACTTGCTACATTGACATGGGTATTTCAATAAAATACCAAAAGAGGATCTCAAGAACCTCTATTGACCTATAATTCAAGCAATAGCATCACAAGCAACTATTGCTATAGTTAAGAAGTGCACTCCAAATTATGTTTACCATACGATCAAATTTCTGATGGATAAATGGGAATAATATATTTGTTAACTGGATGACCATTCTGAATATTATTCCAAGTTATGCTTAGCTGATCCTAGAAACAAATAGCATATTCATGCAGCATATTCTAAAACTTAAACCGATGACCATGCAGGTCAAAGAATTGATAAATGAAGGCATTACCTTGAAACAAGAATTTACATCATTCTCAATATCAGAACCGCACGGCACTTTCAGATACATTTTGAGTCATTTGTTTCCTATTTCTATGTAAAACTAGTTACCATTATGTTTTTGGTTATATATATACTAGTTTGCCGTCCGTGCAAAGCACGGTATTTTTTTTTTGCTACAGTAATCCTTTTTTTAATATGTCATGATTTGTTTTTTTGAAGTGCTACAGTATCCCGCTCTGCTACAGTGCCTTTTAAATGCTACAGTATACCCGTGTGCTGCAGTAATATTTTTAATTAAGTATAAGCTAACGTAACACTGCTACCGTAAATGCTACTGTAGCATTTACTGTAGCATGAACAGTGAATCTCTGATCCTCCTATTTGTATAAAGGAATATATATATATATATATATACACACACACACACTTATATTTTCTCTTTAAAAGTGGGAGTTTGGAAAAATATATATATATATATATATATATAAACATGACAAATGATATATATCAAACAAGTTAATTCCAGATGGAGCTTATGAGTGAACAAACAGATGGTTAAATAAGTTAAAAAGTTATTATCAATACGGATGTTGATTCATATTCAGAACTTCAGATTGAATTTAGGCCGCGTATACCATCCAACTAACTTTTCATTTCTTTTCCTACCTTGCAACTGTGGTATTAGTCTTGTTTTTATATGCATTCTCTATCATATCTCGGGCATAAAAGTAATATTGTTTTCTTTGAAATATATGGGGAGTTCATAAAGGACAAAAGTAGTCGAGCTAGTTATAAATAAGAAGGGAGTTGAGATAACAAAAAACAAATAAATAAGAAATTAGTAAAGAGTTGCGCAAAAGTGATACTAGTAGAAGTTTTCTGGCCTAGGTATCTACAACAATCACAATTAAAACTAGCTCATCTGTAGCTGACCAATTTACAGGTTTCATTATGAAAGCAGCAATCACGCTACAGAGACATAGCTGATTTTTATGACTGGTGTACTATAGAAGTAAGAGCCTTGCCAACTAACCCTAAACAATTTAAATTTCACCAAGAAAATGCAAAGGATCACTCGTTCAATTATGCTTTAACACACACACACACACACACACATATGTATTGATGATTCCTTGTGGAAACCTGACGTCCAGTTTCATTCAACCTCCTTTGCACTGAATATTAAACTCAGGCCACAGCAAGAACCATTATAACAAATAAAATATGTATAACTCTTATTTCCTAGTATGACACACGTAAGCTCACTCGCTATTTACACTTTCCAAGATACAATGCAAAGCGAATGCAAGCTCATACTGGGAAAATATAGCAGCATGAGTTTTTCAACAACCTTACCGCTTCATGCAATAACCAAAGTAGATAACTGGAAATGACAAATACTAATATCACCAACAAAGCTTACCACAAGATGGATTTGGAGAACCAACATGACCAGTTAAATTGTCACCATCATCCATTATACTTATCACACAAGATGTTTCTGTCATTCCATAGCCTTCGAAAACCTGGCCTCCAAAGCATCTGCAAGGAGTTTCTTAAACATTTATTCAAAAAGCAAAAAAGAAAAAGGAAACCAAGGGGAGAAAAAGTTGTATATGAATTCAAATTAACAGATAGCGCTTGATTCTTAGCAGTAGAAAGCTTACATTCTTAAGAAATTCATGATATCTGGAGACAGGGGAGAGGCACCTGAAGACATAAATCGAACTCGCCCTCCAAGCCTTGCTTTTATTTTGTTGAATACTAGTCTATCCCACATTGGAGATGGTGCCTTTCCTGCATATCGAAGCATCATTATTTAATAAACCTTCACGTCAGTGATGCTTTACATAACTATAAAAATAAGTTAAGAAGAGGAATACCTATAGACCTATTTCCTCAGAACTGCAGAAGCACATAGGGATATAAAAGTGCGCATTGTAAATGTATGTACATATTTCCTCATGTCAGTAGAACCTTACATAACAAAAAAAATAAGGGAAGAAAAAGGATAACTTTATATATCTTTCCTTGGAGCCACAAGCACTGTACACACGCACATAGAGATGTTTTTTTAAAAGTACATGCATATGTAAGACATATGTTTATATATTAATGCATCCCTACATGCAGCCCTCCCAAACACATGCACACACGCAGACATGTGCTTATATACGTACATGATAACTTTTTAATCACAATGTGTACCAGTTTCATGCACAGCTTTTTCTCATATCCCCCTCCTATTTTCAGGTTATCATCTGTTGTTCGGGGGAGGACAGGAGAATTTGGATTGGATGGGTTGCATTGGATTTGCAGTCTTCAATAAACCATTTCTGTGTGTTGTGAAAAATGAAATGTTGACACACCTACATGGCTACATGCCAAATTTTCTTTTGTTTTTTGTAGACAAAAGAATTTGTTGAATTACATTAACAGGATTACAGATCCGAAGTTTAGATCAGGTGAAGTAGAAATCTGCACTCCCTAACAGGACTACAAAAGCAAAATATTTTTTTCTCTAATCACAAATATACCTCCCCCAACCCCCTCCCGAACCCATACATGTAATTATATACAAATTGTTCGATATAAGCTTTCACAGGAGAACTTTCTCACATGGTAAAAAGTATTTTCCTAATGGGAAAGAAGATCTTAAACCTCTTGATCTCATTGATAGATTATTTTGAGTGCATAAGAAGATTTTGTGGGAGTCATCTCATGGATGGCACTCTGTGGGGTTGTCATAGAAAAATTGCATTATATATGGCATATATATAGTATACATACATACATGAATAAAATCAGATTTTTGCAAGGTCAACCTAGAGGATGTGTGCACGCACTCATACACTGGATGTCCACGTTGGAGTCGCACGCGCATGTATCCACACATGCATGCTTGTATGCATGGACATGCATGTGTGGCACATTACACACAATAGTTAATATACATGCAGTCATACATGTGTTATGTGTGTGTATAATAGAGAGAGGAGATGAATTTGAAATAATCTCTCTTTCCTAGTCTCAACAACAAATATTATTTCATCAACAAATAACAGACATCATGTTACTTCATTCTGAATGTGTCTAGTAAATTTGTTTATAACTTATGCAAAGAGATAAGAGCTTAAAGATGATCCTTGATACAAACCCATGGTAATAGAAAATGGTTCATCTCTTCTTCACTTGTTTCCATACCGGTTGTATAAATGCATGGAATATCATAAGCTTGCTATTTATTGATATTTTATTTTTTTGTCAATACAACGCTATGAAATGAAATCAGCTTTTGAAATATGACAAGCCCATTCCTCAACAGTTCCTCGACCAGGAACACGACACTTGCTAAAAGAGGACTGATGCCCAGTTCAATGTTGGCCAGAAAACATTGCAAAAACTTATCCATGGGAAAAAGCAAGGGTGATGAGACAGTGATGACTCTCTTTTCAATTATTACTCATCTTTTAAACTTCCCGAAGTCTCTCTCAATAACAGAGCACAGTTTGCGAGATTTTTAATCAAATTTAACTGTAGTTGGCTTCAGTCTGAAACTGAATGGTAAAATAAATATCAGCTGTTATAAGACAAAATCAATTGCTTAAGTCTTATTAAGCTTAGATCAGGATTGGCTAAGACAAAGCCTAATGAAAACTGTAAACAGGTATCAGATTTGACCAATTTTGACTGGTGTTCAAAATAAAATTAGTGGAATAGACAACCTCTTGCCTATATGTGACGCATCTCATGGTGATTGGTGAGATCACCAAAGAAGTGACTAAGAAATGTTAGATGGGACATAAATGTTAAACAGTTTAAAAGAATGTTGTTTCACTATTCACTAGGGCTAAGCTCTGGGGCCAAACTGCAGGGTTGGATTAAGGCAAGTCCAAAGTTTGCCCCCTGATTATAGCTTTGTTACCAAAAAAGAAAAAAAAAAGTGTATTGTTAATTGTCTATTTGCGCACATGATACCAACATTTTTGCCTTAGAAAGCGAGGAAGGGATCAACTGATTCATGTCAAGGTTTTTATTTGCTACAATTTTTCCAAGGAATAAAATATGAATCAGCCAATAGAGTGAATAATCACTTCATTAGGCAATATACATGATTCACTTGTTTTCTTTCTGTTTTGGGATAATTTCAAGAATTTGAGTCTTTTGACATAGGTAGCTGCCAAACGAGATTGTTCAAACCACTTTAGGTTCAGCAATGTTATAGGACTAAATCTGAAAATAGTTCCTTTTGACAGCCTCACTCCAACTGAACAGCCCAATCATAATTGTATGTTACCTTCTCAATAGATTTTTGTAACTCGACTTTGATTCACTTCAGAATAGTGGCATCACTCATGAGTCAGCTATTCTGAAATGAAAGGAGTGAAACAGCTAGTTTTTGTTCCAGCTTTTGGCAACATTTGGATGCTAATCTAGTAACCTTTAAGTACTGACTAGAATCTTAAAGTAATACATATGATGCCACATTGAAGCAAGGTAAATATTGGATATAAGGGAAATATCGGAAGACCAAAATTCATATCACATTGCGGATACCGGAAAATATTGGGGATATGTGATATTGGGGTAAATGTCGGAGTGCTATATCATACAATGTCCATACATAATATAATATCGTATATGCAATCTACACATACTTAATAAAATCTAAGTATACAAAAATGTAAATAATATATGTTTATGATCACTAATCAACCTTATAAAACAAATAAAAGTCCATATCGACATTGGAATATTTACTAGAGCCGAAATGACACTCAATATTAGGAAAATCTTGATCTGTCGCCCAAAAATTGCCAAAAGCAGTACATTGTATTGCCACAAGGCATATAAAAGGACATAGCAACCAACATATTGGCTGACAGGCCATGTCGGGATATATTGCCCAAAATTTCCCAAAAGTGGTAAAGGATATTTAGACCATATCGTTTTGCAGCAAGCCTTGTAAAAGGATATATCAGGCCTTGTAGGGGATATTTAAAACAATGCATTGAAGAAGGGAGTCAGGGACAGTGAGAGGATCAATATTCTTAAAGACTGTCAAAAATCATGGAAGCTGTTGTAATATGCGAAAGCAAATCTGAGAATCATAACAAATTATTCTGGCCTTATTTATGTGAACCTCAAATAATATCCTCATGTTAAACAAGGGAAGAAGTACAAAACCGCCGGGAGTAACCTCCTCGGTTTAAACCATAACTTAAATCTTATGACACAGTCGTCACACACATGCTCTATAAATGTAATGTACCAACAATATATGATGTGTATGAGAACATGAAAATGCTGTAGTAAAACTATGTGTTATGTCAATGCATGCATATGTGTAACATGAAATAGTGGCACTAAAACGATTATAGAAAAGCATTGCAGTCAGAACATCATGCAATAACTTCATAAGACACAAAATTAATATTTACGCAAAACAATATTTTTTTCTCAGTATCCTCACTAAGAGTAGAAGAAAAGTATATATAATCCATCTAAAAATCAATTTTTATAATTCATGCATTCAATTTTAAGATTATATCTTCTTTGATACTGATACTTCTCTGTACATCTATGTATTTGATCCGGGATGTATCAGAAGCATCACCAACAGATATCCACCAACTGTTCCAAGTTAGAATATGTTTATAAGGTGTCGTGAGGGCATTATTAGATAAATTTTATTAAAAAATGCACAGGTAGAATAGTCATATACTTGGTCAAACCTAGCTTATTTAGATGAGCTCATAAGCTAGTTGTCCAAAAGTTGGGGAATCCCTGAGTATGCTACCAAATAGGTAGATATGTAAAAGCTTTCTTAAAAGCCACTTTGACATGTCCCGCTGATGAAGAACTACTTACCGCATTGTGGATTATGCCAAACAGTAGGAAATGAAAGGAATCCAATTTCAAATAAACCAGCGAGTCAGACATCTTACCATTTGATATTGCTTGCATCTTGGCGTTGTATGCAGCGTTGAATAGCTTCTCCCTTAGACCACCAGATTGCTTTACAGCATTCATTATGCTACATTAGAAGTGCAAATTATTGCTCAAAATCAAAGTGAACTGGTACACATTGCGCGCAGTAAATAGCATGTAATTGGCTGCAAGACACATTAAGTTACCCAGCATAAATTCTGTTGTACAATCGAGGCACACTAGCAAACAGAGTGGGCCGAAGAATGGTCATATCATCCACCAGTTTTAAATTATCCTGAAATTGGACAGAAATTGGTTACCTATAAAATTTATCAAGGGAGAATACTTTTTATAATTCCGATACACATAGTTACAGTAACATGGTAAATTTATTTCAGTAAATGACAAAAAACAACTATCTTTTTTCACCCGTTGTTAAGATCATTTCCTTACAAAGATGGGCATTGATCCTAGTTGAATGTATCTAATAGTTGGGCTATTCTTACGGTAGACTGTCTGCTAACCACTTCCCCTAATAGGACATGTGAATTAGTTAGGACGGTTTGGGTCAGGCATGTGAAAATATTCAAAAGATATCAATTAGGTATATAATCCACAAATTAGGCACAACAGAAACAACTAAAAGTAATTTAATTATGTAAAGAAATAGAAAATGATCGAACCCCTTGATAGAACCCAACAGCAACCCCAAAATGAGCCAGTGAAATTTGGTTGACACGCTCGTAGATGTGCGCCAAAGGAAGGTAGGAAATATAACTAGAAACAAGAAACAGAAATAAGTAATCAATGTGACTAAATGAAAATAAAAGGTGCAACAAACTGATAACAAGCAAATCAAATTAGAAAATAAGCACGTACGTATCAGAGGGATAAAATTTGATACCCAAGCTAGATCCAGCAGCATTTGCAATCAAATTTGCATGGGTCAGCACTGCACCCTGAGAGGAAAGTTTTATGTTACAGTTGATAAACAAGCATAGAAAAATGAAAAAAAAAAACTTGGACCAAAAAAAGACAAGCAAGTTACATGACATCTCAGTACCTTCGGAGTGCCAGTTGTACCACTTGTATAGCAGATGGTTGCAACATCCTCGGGTTTTGGAGGGGAAAATGGTTGGAGATTATTATAACCCTATATGAATGCAAAATGATAATTGGCAGAAAAATAATTATATAATGAAGATAAGATGAAGCAAAAACTCTAATTTAAGAGTAATGTTAAAATAATATTATCACAAATAAAAAGCAAGCTAAAATCATCAGGTACAGAGAAAATGCAACTATCAACAGCAGTAAACTCGACATCAAACTATCAGTACAAAAGCTTATACTTGTTCACAAGATGAACAATTACAGTGACAGCTTAAAGTTAACCTTCCATAAAACATGAGATTGCAATCAAAATCCATTATCTTTAATGCTAGTAAAAAAAAACTTAACAAAAATAAACACTGTAATAAAAAGTCATATATCATATAACAGTCTTATCATATATCATATAACAGTCTGATGGAGTTGAATGTACAATTTGGAAAAAAAACTTCCAGTGAAATGTCAACTGCAATAAAGATCTAGTTTCATTAATGGTAAACAAAATCATATCAGATTATTAAGCCCTGATATGGAAGTTATAATTTGCACTCACTAACAAAACCAAAATGAAATCAACATTCAAGTTAATCCATATATGTTGTCCATGCTTGACTTGATTTTTTTTATACAATTCCTTTCCATACAATTCCGTCCACCACAGCTACCAATATGTTAACTAAAGCTAGGGCATCTGCGAGGACAATGGAGAAAAACTAGACAAATATAAATAGAACCCTTGCAAGCTGGCCAATGATATAAGGAGAAGCCACGCCAGCAGAAAGTTTGCCTCTCTCATCATTTTCGGGTGAAAGTTTGCACTCCACCGTAATATTGATCAGATAATCACTTCAATGCTGTCTTTTTTGAGGAATAACATCGGTGACCACCAGTGCTGACCATTAATGCTACCTTCATTAAAGCCAAACTGGAAGTCATTTCTACACTTCTACTTCCACATCATCTACACTTTTCTAACCCGAGAAGCTAATAAGCATTAATACATTCTCCATTTCCTGACTACCTCGCATCCTTTTAAATCATACATTTTACTTGTAGAACCAAGTTGACACCAGAACTGCATAAACCAAGGGGACAATTCTCCCAGCAGCTTTGTCTCAGTTTTACTTGTAGCTTTCTGTCAGCAAACGCACCAGCAACCTTCCTCGCCAACCATCGGTTCCTTTAAGTCATTAGAATATCACCACAGTCTCAGTGACACCACTTCCATCTAAAAAGGATCCAATCAATGAGTTGATCGTGTCACTCAGGATTCAAAATATGACCCAGTTTTAACTTATGTCAATCCAATACTGGAAAGTCTAATTATTTCATCTTCATCATTGAATGATATACCTTCACTCTTGAAGTACATAGAAATTCAAGAAAAAGGGGAAAGGATGTCGAACAAAACACCACCTTCATATAGACGGATCTCACTGCAAGAAAATTGCTCCATTATTTCTTGCATGTTTTACTCTTGAGCTCATTTTAACACCAAAATTGGTTGAGACAGGCTGTGGGTACTTCATCAGGTTGACTTCTCAAGTGGATTCAAACCTCAAGATTCCTAATGTGCATCCTTTAAGATACAATGCAAGCCGAAAGTTTATCTATCAGCATTCGAGGTTTGATAATTATGTCTATGTTTTACACATGGCAGGCACCACTATGTTTGATAGTTGTGTTTCAAATCTGAGTGTGAGTGGAGTGGCATGGTCCCAGTATCACTTTGTTAAAAGTGAAATTTGCACAGACCAATTTTAAGAGCTCTTAAGTTGGGACTAGGCGTCAGCAACATTCCACCAACCATGTTTACAGCAAGTCTAAAGTTTTAATATGATCAATACCTGTCATCTACTTAAAGCTAGAGGATTATGGAATAATATGACAAAACTTGGGATACAATCATGACTTCATCAAAGCTAACCACCATCTTTGCAGTACTTGAATGATTAACAACTTTCAACGTTTATATAACTTTTTAACCCTGTAACCCGAGAAACAGCATAGATTTAGGATTTTTTTTTTCTTACAAGCTGAACTTGAACCAGGACCAAAAATAAGAAAATAAAAATCAATCATATTAAGTGTCGTTACCCATTGACATCTAACTAGAGCATTAATCTTAACAAACAAATATCATAAAGCACATTGAATCTGAACAGCGCTTCTTGAAATTGCAAATATTTCCATAGTTCTTCGTCAATCAAAAAGAGAGAGCACATGCAAACAGAAAGGTGTGATGTTGACATATTGTAAGTTCAATCAAAGGTTGAACTGCGCAGAAACTGATTTGTGGTAATTGGCTGATATCACAAATGCTATAATAAAGGCTTATGATTATGCATATCAAGGAAAATTAACATTTAAAAAGTAGCAAGACATGTGTTGCATCTCCCACGTGTTTCCATTCATATGTAGTTTGCAGAAGAACAGTGAAACTTTGGCAAATCAAATTGACTTACTTGATCATGTAGCTTTGAGTACGTAATTATCTTCACATCAGGTGAGGGGACCGATGGAATATTATCTTCAATTCCTCCAACAACCTGTTGTTAATGTGAAAAGGACAGATAAACATTGAAAATTCCTGAGTGAACAACTAACATACTAAGATAGAGCTATTTGTTTAGAGTTTTCTCACCACTATCATTCGTACAGTTGGCATCTGACTTAAGAAGCTTAATATCTGCACCAAAAGAAAATTTAGTATATAACCAAGGCTAAAACTAATAGAAGTAAAGCTAAATAGCATAAAAAAAGAAAATATAAGTTCATGTGGCTAAAAAGCTATTTCTCAATTTCAATGTTTATTTAGCAGAGTATAACATAGATTCAAATGGACTTGTAAAGAAAGCTGATAGTTGGTAAGGGGTGGAAACAACCCAAATAATTACATAGTACATTGAATTTTCGTTCGCATTTGATTCAAAAGTTTACTTAAAAGTAAACGAATAGATTTTAGTATTTGGTTCATAAACGAATAGAATTTAACATGATGTCCATTGAATACGCTTAACTAAATCAAATTCGAATAATGTTTAAGAATTCTAACACAAACTCAATTACCCAAAATCTAACCGAATTTGAATAGCAGAGTATTCAATTTGATTTGGTTCAATTCCATCCCTAACTGCCACGAAGAGTTCTTCCTCTAAATTTTTATGTTTTGCTAATGTCGTTCAGTTGACTTTCTCACACACCCAACTCTAAATATGTGTCTGAACCCCCTCGCCGGCACACATAATTTTTTTTTATCAATAACTCAAACTCTTTAGAGTCTCTGCAATTGAAAACACAACTCCAGGTCAAAAAATCCAACTTCGTCGCGTCATTCTCTCAAACCTATTTGTACTCAAATCGATTAGGAACTCAAACTTAATAAATGATATATAGATATCAGGCTAGGTACTTCACATACTATTGTTTCCCTCCCTCGATGTCTATTCACAGATTCCCCAGTTCACCACACTCAGAATATTCAAAAATCTGCTTTTAAAATATCAAATTCTAGACAAAGTTTCTAAAGATTATTATTTATATGCTAAGTTACATGAATACGGTTACAGGTGTAGGGGACATGGCAAATTTGTAAAAAGTAGGGTACGGGAACATGGCTCCACATACATGAATATATAATAATAATGTACATGAGATCAATATTTTTTTTATTTCATGTGCTATGAAATAAAGTTCCTATAACACTTATAATGAGGTCCGAATATGGGCTCCAATCCAAAAGTAGATGGCTCTCAAATGTGATGTCTTTAACACCCATCCGAATCCGATCGGAAAGTACGATGCTCTTGATATTGTGAACTTTCGCGGGTAAATTTTTAAGTCTTCGCAGGTGAACTTTCGCAGGTACTCGAATCTGATCAAAAATCTAAACGTAGGAGCGGGTAAATTTTTAAGTCTTCGATAACTTTCTAGAGACGTGTTCAAATATGCTAATGAGGCAATTATTGTACGACTTCAATGGAGCTTCACCGGAAGAGAAGGCCATTGAGTGCTTAGCAAGGAGATGTTGTAACTCATTGAAGGCTCATCGAAAGAGACCCGACGATGAAGATAATCAAGAAAATCTCTAGAGCTCATCGGAGGTCGTAATCGGGGTTCATAGTAAAATTCAAAGGATTACGGCGTCATCGAAGGGGGCGGGTAACGTCGGAAGGCTTCGTGGAGAAGTTTTGTTCATCACATGTACTGTTCACCTAAACGGTAACTTTTCCTATTGTATTTAAAAAAAGGATTAGAATTTATGGAATTTTCAGACGAAGGGCTAGAATTGAAGAGGATGGTAAATAGATGGATGAGGTTAAAGAAAGAGATGACTTTGGGATAATAGGTTCACACCATAAGAGAGACAATTCACATGCCAAAAAACACTTCACATGCTCAAGAGTGAATTATCACAACTCAAACTTTTATTAATTAATTAATGGTCTGCCTTCTGAGGAGGCTTACAACATTATCTATAGAAAATGATAATAACTACCATGACAAATCAAACCCCTACATCAACTCTTGAATCCATCAAAGAAAGAAACTGAAATAAAATCTCTATCAAATAAAATCACTAAGATCCTAAAAATCCTAACATCATATCTTAAGGAAATCCTACTTAAAAATAAAGATACATCAAATATTACTAATGGTGTATTTGGCATCACTACAAAACTTGTTTTAGGTGCATACAATCTTGGTCCAAAATGCTAATTTTAGTTTGGCAAAATTTGGCTTCAATAGAACTAGTTTCCCTACTTCAAAATGTAGCCCCTAAGTTAGTTCTTTTGTGGAACAACCTTATTTGGTTCAACTCTGGTCTGGTTAAGAAAATCGACTCCAGACCCACTTTTATTTTAAAGTTGCCAAAGACACCCTAAAATAAAAAATATTCTAATAGATCTTAGAATGTTTTAATGGATGATCCACGATTGTCATGCATCAAGTTACATATTTCTTTTATGATGTAGATTTACAAATTAGGAGATTGCTAGTTTTTAAACTTGATATTCAAAAACCTTCATAATCATAGTTTTAAACTGGGAATGAGCTGAAACGAACTCAATTTATGTCTAACGTGTTTCAAGTTTTGCATGTGAAGTGTAGGATATACGTTCATGAATGAAGTATATCACGAGTGTTTTGAATTAAAACATGTATTATGGAATTAAAACGAACCCAACTAGTGTCAGGCAAGTAAGGTCTCTATTAGAACACCCTATAGAAAGGACCGATCTATATCATTCAGGGGTGGTTAGAGAGTTAGTTTGTGAATTAATATTCTTCTATTTATAGTGTAGATCACTCTCCTATATGGGTGGTTCTGATAGGATCGCTAGTTCGCTACTAGTGTGAGGCCTAGGCACATTTCTTTTTTGTTAAACTAGAGGTGAACAAGATTTTGCTGAAGGTTAGAAGAGGTAGAGGTGTTCAAAAAGTCAATGAAGGAGGCTAGAGAGACATGAGGACATGGAGGTGACAATAGAGAAAATCATACCATGACTTAAACTTTGAAGTCTGAATAACAACTCCTGCTTCCTTAGGCACTCAAAAGACCAAGGAAGACGGTCTAAGTAGTGTCTAGGCCAAAAAAGGAGCCTTTACGACTTTGTAGCCGCTTATTAAAACTATGCGGCAAACAAGAACTGGTGATCATCCAAAGGAGAACAATGACGATCAGCTGAAAGTAGTGAATAAAGAATGACCGGTAACTTTTTCAGATTTTTTTCCTTGCTTAATAATAGCTATATTTTGTTTAAGCTATTGTTTTTGGTGGTTAAACATTAATTGGTCTTATATTTATTTTGAGTTACTTTTTTTTATAATATGAAGTTACTTTTTTTATATTTGTTTTGAGTTACTTTTTTTATAATATGAAGTTATGAACTTATGTTACTTTAGAGACGAATGAGTTCTTTCGTTATCTGCCTGTTGTTTCTTCTCATTTGGCTTCTTCATTCATCATTTATTTTAAATTTTTTATAATGAATTTGATCTACTTTATGATGGTAAATTGATCAATGAAGTCAATTCTTTTTTTCATAATAAGTTGTTGCTTATCATAATTTTTATGTTTTTCAATAGTCTTGCAATTTGTTGTTGTTGATCATAGTTTGATCCTATGTGATATATGACTTATGGTTCCCTCTCTCTCGATTTCCTACCTACATACTAGCTTGCCCTCAAATGATTCCCCATGCATATATTAGATATTTGAGGTCCACATGAACAAAAAAGAATTTGATTCGCTTGGTAGATATTTGCTTTGTCTAGGGTCTGAGATTCAATTTTGGAATATATTGGATTTTATGAACATTATGTTTGCGGTGGGCACTTCAGTGAGATGCACGCATTGCTTTGCGCCTCGCACATGGTGGCATAGTGCAAGCAAAGAAACTTTGCGCCCCACACTACGCCTTGTTCCTTGATAACACTAACCCTACCATATAAGTGTACTCTGGTGGACAGGCAAATTGTGATCCTAAAGACTTAAAATAATAGGAAATGTTTGGCAACTTCCTAATATCCAGGTTAGTAGAGCTTAACCTGGTTAAGGGGTCAAAATGTTGTTTGGGAAAAAATGGACTAACTCTAAACTATTGTTTTTTTTAGTTCAAATTTGAGCACTTATCCAGGATAGGATTGATCCGCCCCTTACCCGGTTCACAACCAATTGGTTAAGGTATTAACCTGGTTAAAGGGCAAGTAGCCAAACACACCCATAGGTTCTTAAATTATCCCAGTCATAAAATAAAGAAACAGAAGGAACAACAAACGAGGGATCAAGAACTTACAGTGCTCAGTGTTTGCGGTACACAGAAGATAACATGTACAGCAGCATGATTCACAATATAGCTAACAGCATCAGGCCCTGAAAATATCACAATTCCAGTACTCAAAGATACAGAAAGAGAATGCAATGATATTCACAATTATCTCATAAATAACGACATACCAAGAGTGTCATATAGTGGCACTGATACATAAGAGAACGCAGAGCAGGCATGATCCACTACAATCCATTCAGGTCTGTTTATAAAATAAAGTCCAATAGAGGCGCCCTGCTCCATGTGAAACAACAACAAAAATATGCCTAAGTGGAAAAAAGAAGCTTGATTATACATAATCTCTTTTTGTATTTATCATTCTAAACAAACAGTAAAAGACAGTTGTCAATATGGACTGACTTCATTTCAACCTGAACCTCAGGTACTCGGTTGAAAGAAAAAGACATAAAGAAACAAAAAAGCACTAAACCATATGACTCACTTTAGGTATACCATGATATATTAAGCCTGAACCTACTGCTGAACGGGATGTACCAGTTTCTCCATAAGTCATCCATTTGTACCTTCAAGGGTGATAAACACAGAAATATATGACCAAGAGTATTCGGAATCATGAATTCGGAAATAACAGAAGAATAGGAAGAATTAGTTCCTTACTCTCCAACAGTACCATCTGGACGTACTCTGGTCCCCAAAAATTTGTAGTCACGAAAAGTATCAACTGCATATCTAGTTAATCGAGTGCACAGTAAAGACAAGTTAGCATAATAGAAAGCAAGATCCTTGCATCACAGAAAGCCCAATCCTTTGGAAGAAAAATGCAAGTCTGAGAATATATGATCCATATTAGTGAAAACAATCGAAAACCAAACCACCGATAGTGACACAAAAGCGGATGCGATCATGCAAAATCTGTATGATCAATGGACTTGACCAATGCCACAGACAACAAAGGAAAGTACTATTAACTACATAATGTCACTAAAAGACAAATCTAAGAAGAGATTAAGTCAATGGCCCTTAAATTGAACTCATGACCACCAGATAGTAAATCACAGTAGAAGGTGGTTTATATTGACAAAAGATACTCACTCAAAGTTATCATGTAAAGTTGCAATGTCAGGCTGTTGTGGGTATCTAGCAACAAGCTTTAAAGGTGCGCGTGCAGATCTGATCAAACAGGAAAAGATTTAATAAGCAGTTACAGAAAAATGTACAGGCAAAACATATAGCTGCTTACCTGTATACATTCCACTTCCCATTTTGCAGCTTTTCTGGAAGACTAACACTATAACCCTGCCCTGCACAAAATTTGAATAACCAGTGATTCCTGAATTCTGGTGCTGGTGAGATCATGACAGTGGCTACTGGTGACATTTACTTCAAGACTGCAAAGACCTTATTACATACGTTTTAAAAATGCCAGGTCTAATGGTCCTTGATTACATGAAAAATGACACTTAGATCAGGCACTTCTGGTGTCACTTTCTACAATGAGTAATCCAATCTAATAAGTCACAGCTTCCAAGACATCGAATAAATATACACTTGATAATCATTACTGTTAAAAATAAAGGTCATAGCTTGGTCATATCATTTAGGGATAAGAAACCATTTGGATCTTTGTCATAATATTTGCCTTATAGATGAATGTCATTCTCTAGCAGATCAAAAAAAAATCTAACTCTATCTGGATTCTGTCAAGAAGGGAATTTGGAGATTGCTCCTCGGTACAGTGGGCTTAATCGATACGACGAAAAGGGCACTCGCTTAGCAAACAGGTTTTCCATCACAGTTCATCACAAAGCCCTCTTATACTCACATTAGGAGTGTCAATGGATTGAGTGATTTTTCCGCACTTTTGTACCGGAACCAAGTTCCAAGTGGGTTTTTCAGAGTAAAACCCACCCATCGTTTCAGATAGCTTTAGATGCCAGGTTGGATTTTTCAATTTTGTATAGCGGAACGTGCGGCCAAGATTAAGGCTTGGGTTAGACATAGACTATAGATCTTTTTTTTTAATCCTCAAGGCTCTACCACTATGATTCTTAATGTACAATTAACAAAAGGTTATATTAAGGATATATAATGTTGCTAAAAATCACGTTTTGTGTCAGCAAAATAATCAAAAGAAGAAGAATCAATGACGAAGCTTGTAAATATAATACACTTCTTAAACGGCATAGCCACAAACATAACAATAGATACTTCTTTTAAGAGGCCTAGCATAAAATTATCCCAAAACAGCTAAACAATCTACAAGAAAGAGAAATTGGCAAAGTAAAGGTGGTATAAGGAATTTAGGTTTCTTGCCGGTAAAGGTCATCTCACCTCTCAATCTAATAAATCTTGATCAAGAAAATTCAATCTTCAAAGTCTAAGGAACTCGTCCTCCAAGCTCAATAAAGCGCCGCTCATTATACTAAATAACGGCCAAATTTTGGGTTCTGCATCAGCAAAATACTTAACAACAACTACAAAGCCTTCATGCCAAATTTTTTATCCCAAATTTTGGGGTTGGCGTACATGAACCCCATTCTCCTTCATTAAGTTAACTATCACAATGTCCTTCTTAATTTCTTCTACCGAGTTCGTTCAGGTCTACCCCTAGTCCTCTTTGTACTACAATCAGCAAAATAATCAAGAAAAGAAAATTAAAAGGCAGAGCTACTAAATATATATAATGGATAAAAGGCAAAGTTTTCAGAAATAATAGAAACTCTTTTGAAGGCCTTATAGCATAAATCATCACTACCAAAACACCTCCTTTATAAAAAATTCTCGACCGCAACTCCTATACCAAACTCGTTCACTGTAGTCCTAGCGACCAGATCTCAACTTCACGGAAACAGTACTAAAAAAAATTTCAGTACCGTGGACGAACTCGCCGGCAGTAGCGCCCGCAGCGAGCTGCGACTCCCGATCATCCACCGGCGACGAGCGGAGGTGGCCGGAGATCGCCTTCAGGCGTCGCTGAGCTGCAGGATCCATCGCACTTGGAGAAAAATCGAAGTAAAAAAAAAAACCCTAAATCTCTCTCTCTCTCTCTCTCTCTCTTGATCTCAGGTTTTTGTTTTCGATTTGTTTTAGTAAAGAAGACAGACAAAAGGAGGAAGTTATGGGAGAGGTGAGGGCACGGCGCTCGAGGGGGGATGGGTTTAAAAAGGGGTGTCGGATAGCGTGGGGTCGTGTGAGGTTTATCTTGAGCGGTTGCGTGCGGGGACGCCAGTTTTTTTTTTATTATGACGTACCCGCAGGTTTTTTGCAAAATGCCTACATATTTTGACTATTGAGTTTTGCCTTTTCATCTTCTTTTTATCTTTTAGAAGATTTTTCTAGCGTATATACTCTTGGAAAGTGATTTGTTAAGCCTGTTTAGAATCTGGATTAGTTTGGACGTGAGGTTTTATGTTTTGCCCAATCATGGATGTTGATGTGGGATTAGTGGGAGTAAACAAGATTTGACTAAAAAGCATATGTTCCGATGTTCGAATAACCACCTACGTCTAAGTCTAATTATAAAGAAAACTTTTCTAATTATAAAAAAAATAGTCAAAATCATTGTTATTCTCAAACACTAAAACTGATCACAATGACTAAAATAAAACTTATTTAATAGTCAAAATCATTGTTATTCTCAAACACTAAAACTGATCACAATGACTAAAATAAAACTTATTTAACGGGTTAATAATTTAGTCATTCTCTCAAACACTAAAACTGATCACAATGACTAAAATAAAACTTATTTAACGGGTTAATAATTTAGTCATTCGGAATATCGAATGGGATAACTATGTTAATATTTCTCATTAATTTCTCTTCATTAACCCTTTGCCAAACGGGGCCTTGGTGATTTGATGTTCCACCCTCAAATCTTCATATATTGATATTAGCCTCTCAAATCTCCATGTCGTGTCGATATAAGTCTCTAGAGTTAGATGGGGTGATAAATGTGAGGGTATATTTCGTTAACTTTATCACTGCCATAAAGACAATTATGACCTTCACTTAACATGTTAATTACTCCACCAATCCAAACCATTCCAACTTTCTTCTTTTTCTCCTTTAATGGTAAAAAACAACGGGCTTATAAAATTCCATTGGTTCTCCACTCATCTACACTCCATTTCTCCTTCTCCCAACTTAGATCCTAAACCCATTTGAATTAAAAAGGCGACGATTGAGTTTTCTCACTTGTAGCACTTAGGTCCCGTTTGGTACGCGGTAATGGGGTGGAATGGAATGTCATTCTCACTTCTCATTCCCTCTTACCAAACAAACTAGTTTTTAGATGTTGGAATGACCATTCCATGGGAATGGTCATTCCCACTTTTTGTGGGAATGAGCATTCCAAGTGAGAAGATAGGGAATGATCATTCCCATTCAAGGGGAGAATCAAATTAGTTAGATTTTTTTCAATTATACCCCTATTAATAATAAAAATTAATTTAAAAATCATGGCTTTTGACTACGTATTCTCATTTTCTCTTTGTTTTTTAGGTTCCACCGAAACAAAAAGGCCTTCTTTCTATTCATCGCCCCTGAAATCGACGTATTCTCATTCTTTATATTTTTTTGGACCTATGAAAGATGCAATAATCTTTTATTTATTTTTATTTAATTATTTAAGACTAAGAAATAGTGAGAATTATTTAAAAAATATAAACGAAACATACACCTGATCGATAACATGCCCATCAGTATAGCACATACCTAGATTAATATAACATATGCATAAATAATTTTTTTTATAGTTATTATCATTAATGTTTATTTTTATCTTATTAAAAATCTATGTTGTTATAAGGGTATTATTAGAAAATGAGATTTCATTCTCACTTGTGAACTAGTGATACCAAACATGGGAATGAGAATTAGATTTTCATTCTAGCTTCATTCTACAAACGCACCCAAACAAGAGAATGGGAATGACCATTCCATTCTCACATACATTCCATTCCATTCCTTCTTCCATTCCATTCTCACTTGACTTCATTCTCACGTACCAAACGAGGCGTAATAGATTTTTACACATCAATTATGAATTACGAGAATTATTTTCAAAAAACCTAGTTATGAAACAAACTAAATGACTAACTAATTGAAAATCAATGAATTAATAGAAAAAACATTAATCAAATCCTAAAGCCTCAAACCACTTTCTCCTCCTTAGAAGATCTGCACATCAACTATGAATGGTGACAGTTATTTTCAAAATCCTAGTTATGGAATAAACTAAATGATTAATTAATTGCATCAAATCAAATAAATCAATAGAGAAACGTTAGCCAAATCCAAAAGCGTCGGACCTCTTCCATGATATTTATAGGCATTGAAAGAGTTTGCACTTCATCCACCTCGGTGTCTCCTTCACTCGACCCCTCGCTCTCATCGCCCTTATCGGTCTCATCACCCACTTCCCTAACCCTCTTCTTCTGCAATTTCTTTAATAAAACCCCATCATCACCCTCACCCTCATTCTCACTATCGGGAACTACAAGCTCCCAACTCCTCTTTTGCTCTGGAGTCACTAGTCTATTCCCTTTTCTTCTCTTGGGCATTTTATCAGACACCTTCTCTGCATTCTCTTTAAGCCCAGAGATCTCACCCTCGAGCTCTTCACACTTCCTCCTCCACCCAACAACCTCTACAAACTTCTCTCTAAAGTCCCTATCTTTCCTCCCCAAATCCTCTACTAAACTTTTAATCCTATCTTGATCTCTCATCCCTCTTTCTCTTAAAACACTCCAGTCCTCTTTCTAACCTCGCAACTTTCTCCTCGAGGGCTGAGCAGTTTCTACACCATTTCTCGACCTCTTGCCGAGCGACGAGGTTGGCGACCTCGAGCTCGGCGATTTTGGTGGCATTACTGCTGGTTGTGGGCTCAATAGTCATCTAGTTTATGTTTCCTGCAATTATTGCAAGCTGTAGGTAAAATGGGGAAATGGGCTTTTGAGTTTCTGGGGTTTTGAGCTTACCGAGATTGCCGAATCGGGAAATGGGGTTTTGAGTTTTGAGGGTTTTGAGCTTACCGAGGTTGCAGGCGGCGGCCATTGGAGAGAGTGGAGAGATTGGAGGAGGAGGTGAAGAGTGAGCGAGAGCGCTCGAATTTCTTGGGTCTCGGTGTGGAGAACCGGCGGGTGGTTGGCACGTGGAGAATGTTTAAGACAACTGGCTCAGGCGTTTTCCATTTGAGGTAACGTCCACACCAAGTTTGACTAGAAAACATTTATAACAATTAATGATAAAAAGTATAGAAAAGAAATTTTTTCGATATGGGTCCATCGAATCTGTTATATTTTGAAATTAATTCCTGAATTTTTAAATGTTTTGAAATTAGTCCCCTCAATCCTTAAATGTTTTGAAATTAATTTCGCAAATCATAATTTGTCTCTTAGATATTTGAAATGTTTTGAAGTTAGTCCCTTTAGTTAGCATCAGATTTAAAAATCTTGAAAACTAATTTCAAAATATTTAAATATTTATGGGGACTAAATTCAAAATATGATTGACTTAGGAAACTAAGGGGCTGTTTGGTTGTATGTTTTTACCATGTAAAAGGATGTAAAGTGTAAAAAAGTGGGTCCCAATGTCAGCTTTTATCACTTTCAATTGTTTGTTTGTAGTTGTGAAAATAGTGTAAAGTGATTTCATATGCTGATGTGGCTTGTAAAGTGATTTCATGAAAAAAAGACATGATTTTAGGAGAAAGCTAACATTGAAGTTAGGAAAAAATAATAAAAAATAATTCCAACCAATATGATCATTTGAGTAGGGATAAAGTGATTTCATGAAAAAAATACATGATTTTAGGAGAAAGCTAACATTGAAGTTAGGAAAAAATAATATAAAATAACTCCAACAAATATGATCATTTGAGTAGGAACCACTTTTTACACTTTCCAAACAAACAATTAAAGTTTCATTTTGCAAACCAAACAATTGTTTTATGATTCTAATGGAACCAAAAACAAACAAAGAAAAGTATAAAAATGAAATTGATGAGGTGGACAACAACTTTCCTAAGTTGTGTCATAAATACACAACTTTACCAACAACAACCAAACAGCCCCTAATTTTAAAAGACATAAAAATTCGGAGTTCATACAAACCATAAAGATTTGGGGAATGCAGTGGTTGACACGTGGCATTATAGTACGACGAGTGGTCACTTACAAAAGTTTGACTAGAATATATTAAAATTAATTATCAAAGTTTAGCAAAATGGAATTTTCAGTATTGGTCCCCTCACCTTTCATATTTTGTAATCAGTCCCTCAAACCTTCATACTCTCAGACCAACCCTTTTAAATTTTGAAATTAGTTCACAAATTTTCATATTTTAAAATTAGTCCTTCAGATATTTGAAATATTTTGAAATTAATCTCTTTAATTAGCACCAGGTTAAAAGATCTAGAGGATGATTATTTTTAAGAGATTTAACATATTTTAAAATATGAATTTTTTTTTTTTTTTTGGGGGGGGGTCAAAACACCTAAAGAT